ATATGAAAATTCTTGAAATCTTGAATTCTTGAATAAAACCTTGAAAATCCGCTTGAATCCTTGTGAAATCGGCTTCAAGTTCGTGTTCCTTGCCTCCAAAAGTTGTATTCTTCTTCTCCTTGGACGTTCTGCCCTATTTCTGATGAATTTTGTCTTTTATATCATGTCCTCACGGAACCGCGAAAGAGTTTCAATTAAAAACGGAAGTTCAGATTTTTTTCGAACTTAAAGCCATGCGGCCGCATGGTTCAAATTTTCAGCCAAAAAAAATCCCTGTTAGATCATGTGCGGCCGCATGGTATAGTTACATGCGGCCTCAAGGTTGTAACTTTACAACCTTGCCATTTTGGTCTCTGAACTCCGTTTTCTCTTTTCTTTCTTTCCTTTGTTCCATTATCAAATATTGACTCCTAATTGATGTTTGGGTCAATCGATTCCTTAATCATTTGCTCGGCTCATCTTTTGATTAATTGCAATTTAGTCCTTCATTTTTCACTTTTCTTCAATTCAATCCAATGTTACTTCTTTCTTCCTCCGATCGTCTTGTATCGTCCTCAATCTCATACTTGGTATATTTTCATTCTCGTTCTGCAGTTAGCTCAACTTTCCAATATTTGTACCTTTGGTCCCCGAACTATCGCTTTGTTCTGTTTTGATCATTTTTCGGCTCTTTTCTTCTGAATTCCATCTTTTCCATAGAAACACCTACAATGCATGAATTTAACGAGATTAAGTCACAATTCAACTACTTTGTCCATGTTTAAGTCATGTTTGTGAGCTAAATAAGTGTGTAAAAACACACTTATCAGTATCCTTGATTAAGTTAGGATAATTAAAAAATCCAACTCTTTTTTATTACATTGAATCGAATTCGATTATAACTAGTAAACTATATTTACAATTATTCATCGTGGGATGATACTTTTAATTCAATAAATCTATTACTTGTCAACGATCGTGTACTCTTCGTGAGTTTTTCCCAAACAACATTGATGAAGGAATTGCAAAATTGAAACTAGAAATTTCCGATGCAAGAGGGAAGCGAAAGGGTAAAAATCTACAAAGTGTTGGAAACCCTTCAAATTGATTTCAATGAGTAGTATAGTGGACAAAGTTCAAGAGTGTAAAGCAGTATGTAAATATTGTCAAACATGATTGACATGATAAAAGGGTGTCGATAATAACTACCTCAATCGTCGCTACCTGAAATATACGGCCAAACATAAGCTTGTTGGTGGAACACAAACACAATTGTAATTTGGTACTCCTTGTCCCTATATCAATTCTATAACACTTAGTACATGGATATATTCGAAGGAAAATACTAGTGAAGGAATGGTGAAGTTTGTTATCAGTGCTGAATGGTCGCTACGCATAGTGGATAACAAACATTTCACATAGTTTGTGAAAGAATATTTTCAACTAATGTACCAAGGTACTTTGGATTAAGTAGAAACACTTTACGTTCCAATTACATAGATTATTTCATTGAATACAAAAAACAAATGATTCATGATTTACATAGATTATTTCATTGAATATAAAAAACAACTGATTCATGATCTACATAAATATGAGGGTGTTATATCATTTATTTCGGATTTATGGAAAAATATTAATAAAACAGGTAATATACTTGGAACTGCACGCTAAGCAAAATAATAATAATAATTACTTTTAAGATAATTGAGTATCCTTATAATAATAACAGCATATTTAACGCTCTTATGCAAATTATTAAAGAATATCATTGTGAAAATAAAATTCGCTCTTTTACGTTTGATAATGCTACTATTAATAAGCCTATTATAGGTAAACTACATAGGGTTCTTAATCTTGATTTCAGTGATTTTCTATTTCATATTTGTTGTATGTGTCATGTCTTTAATTTAATGTACAAGACGATATGGGGTATATATACACCATATCATCAAGTAGAAAATGTGTTCAAGGAATACTGTGCTCAATTTAGTTAGATTCCACGTAAGCTACAGATGGAACTTGACTTACTTATTACTAAAATCATGTGTTAAACATTTAATTACAAAAATTTATAATTCTATAAATACAAGTAATGATGATGATGATGGTCCCGTTTTGACGGTTAATGATTGGAATTGGCTTTTTAAAGTGACAAGATTTTTCACAATTTTTTATGATTTTACAAACATCTTATCTAAGGAATACCACCACATTGGTTTGAGAGTTTTTGAACGTCTTTTTGTTATTGTAAGAACTTTTAGTAAATACATAAATGATCTCGATTTTACTGAAATATTGTATTCTATGTAACTAATGTTTATAAAATACGGGGAAGATTTACCTATTTTATTTTTTTGGCATGTGTAACGGACCCACGTAGAATTTGAAATGCACTAAATATGTTATTAGACAAATAAAAAATGCTTTAAATTTTGATGCTCCTATTAGTTATTGTAATTTAGAAAACACGACTTATATGTATGAATTGTATGCATAGCAATTAGGTGCAAATATTAGTCAGACATCCTATGTGTCCCCCAACGTTAATCTTCAAGAAGATGACGAGAAAATTTTGAATTTATTTACGGACATTAGAGATGAAAGATTTGATGCATATTCTTTTACTAAGTTTTCCACATATAATCAGACAACGAATACAAATCTAGTTCTAATTGGAATGCCTACTAAATTTCATAGATATTTTAATAATCAAATGCTTAGGAACCTAGAACTTGTTGATGCAATGAAATTTGATTTACTTGATTTTTGATGACGTCGTGACTGTAGATATCCCATTGTTTATGTAATTGCAAAAGATCTACTAACTCCTCCAATTAACAATGTAGCTTCGAAGTATACTTTTAATGTAGGTAAGCAAACTATGCTCGAGTTTCGAAGACAATTCAAAAAAGACACTTTGGAAAACTCAATGTGCATAAAAAGATTGGCAATACACTCATTTTTGAACAAAATAGGTATGTCGAAATTGCTTCTAATAAGATAAATGATATTTAATTTTGTCGTATAATCAAACCTTGTTATTTTTAATAATATTTTATTTTTGAAAAAATTTTACACATAAAAATTTGTACGTGTACAATTTTAACTCCACCTACTTAAATTCGAAGAGAAATAGGAGGATTTTTATAGAAAAAAGGAAAAAATGCGAACTCGTTGGCCGAGCCGTACCAAAGCTCGTTCCTTGAACTAGCCAAGCTTTTAGGTAATGGTGCTGAGTTGGCTAGGCTCGTTCATTACCATCTTTACCTTTAGACAGTACATTTATGTCTCAAAATATTTTCGCCATATTTTTATTTTCAAATTAACATAAATTATTCTGATTATGAATTTTCTTGAAAAGTTTTTAAAATAGAGTAAAAGGAGTCATTTGTCCACTGTATTTTTAAATAAGCAAAATAAATAATAATGTAAAAATGCAATTAAATATTTGACCATAATTTCAAAGTATGTTAATGATATTTTTGGAGAAAAATCACGACTAAAGATAAGGTTTTCTAATCGGTGTTAAAAATAATGTGACGAAGAAAAAAGTTAAGAATATAAACGTGATAATAAATAAAATTTAATGACATTTAGCTCTTATTGGAGCCCCATTTTGGGATTAAAAATGTATTTTAGAACAATGCTTTTAAAATGATGTTCGGCTAAAAAATAAGAAAAAAATTTCTGTTTATGTCTTTAATTATTTTATTGAAAAATGTATGATTGAAAATAAATTTTGAAGAAATGAAGTTTTGATAAAATGGGTTCCAAACAAGGGCTTAGTGTAATTAAAATGTGGTGTATTTATAATAATAATAAAAAAAAAAATTAAAAACATGGTGTGAATATAATCACCCTTTTAGAAATTCGCCAAGTATAATGATATGGTTTCGTGTGTTGAAAATCAAGAATGACCTACGACCTCTTTTAGATGTTATCATTTGTGCATTGTTAATAGAGTGGCGAGTTATTTATTTATTTATTTTATTATTATTATTATTATTATTATTATTATTATTATTATTATTTTTTTTTTTTTTTTGTTGAAATGAGTCCAATAGATTAAATAATAAAAGAGAATAAAATCATGTTAATTAAGCTAATGATTTTACATGTCTCAAGAGTGTACTATACTTTTTAGAAACATAATCATTATATTCAATCAACTTACCACAAATTGTTAGCAAAGAACAAATTAATTCATCTATAACTATTCTAATCAGGCGAAATGAGAGTCACCATATTGTGGGCTACCTTACTCCCGTGAAGAATATAAAGCTACAATGACGACATCTAAATCAACAAGAAGAAAAATTTGACTTGAGAGAATGAATTAGTTGGAGAGAATCACACTTAGTTGCAGCAATCTAAAGGTCCATATCCTTCGCCGAAAGAGTTCATCTTGCACAATAATCGCTTCCACCCCTAATTTCCCCTTTGTTTTCCTCGTCTGAACCACCACCACTACAAACCTCAATTCATCTCTGATTACTGTCCCCAACATCATTGTTAAACTTCAGTCCCATGTCGAGGGCGGTGACCACCAAGTGGACAGCCTATCAACGCCTTTCCTCGTTTAAACCAAGTCACCATTTTGTCCCCAGTGATTAGGTTGTCCACTGCAACATTAGTAAGCCTCGAATCACTCTTCCGCACTCACCCCGAGTCCACTATAGCACATGGCCTCACATATAAAATAATCTTGTTACTGTGACAGGTTCAATGAAACAGGGGAACACATGTTAATAAAAAATCACAACACTCATTGTCCCTATACAAGGAGCATTATTCCATCCAAAATTTCCCAATTCAACCCTTCTAAAAGTCTTAGTTTTGAAATAATTAAACGTGTATTAATTGACCCCTTCTTTTGTCATTTGTTCTTATCCATTTGGTCAGGATAAAATTTCATAGAACTAAATAATTACTTGCTTGAAATATTTAAAAAAAAAAAAAAGATCAGAATTATAAAAAAGAAAAAAAAATTGTTGAGAAATACCAAAGATTGCCATCTCGCTTTCACCAAGAAATCTCAGTTCACACGACTCTCTCTCGTTCTCGTCATTATAAATATCATCATTTATACATACTGTTCACTGTAAGCATTTTGATCTGCTTTCTCTATGTCTGAATCTAGTACTACTTCTCCTTCTTATGGTACAACCCATTCATTAGTGTTCAGTGTATATATGTTTGCATTACTAATTTGGTTCTGAAATTGGATGATTGTCGTGAAAATTGATCGTGATTTAAACATACGTATGTTTTGCATTACTGGTTTATGTTTGAAATTGGATTGTTGAAGTGAATTGGTTGTGATTTGATGTAGAAATGAGTTCTATGAAGAAGGAATATGAGTTCCTTAAGGAGATCGGGCTCGGTTCGCGAAATTTGGGTTGTTATATCAACGGATTATGGCAGGGTAACGGTCCCGTGATTTCCTCTGTAAATCCGGCGAACAATCAGGTTTGATTGGTCAATTCAATTTTAGCATTCTTGTTTCTTTCCGTTTTCAATAGCTTTGGTTGAGGCGTTAAAGGCGATCAAATTCGCCCTTTAAGCACGTGGATTTGGTCGGTCTTTTTCTTTTTCTTGTGTTTCACTTCTGTTTTGGGTTTACTTGACGATGTTTATAAGGAATTCAAAAGTGATTGCAAATACTGTGTGTATCCTTTCCTGATCCGAACTTTTTTTTGACACTTTTAGCTACTTTTGACTTCTGGATTGTAGAGAATTGCTGAAGTGGTTGAAGCATCTTTTCAAGACTATGAGGAAGGCATGCGGGCTTGTGCTGAGGCTGCAAAGATATGGATGCAGGTATATAATGCTTTTCTTAATTAACAGGGATGCTCTCTGATTGAAGTTGTTCGATGTTAAATTCTAATTGGAGAATTAGAATCATCTTTAAATGGTGTTTCCTTCTTTTCTATAAAACCAGCCACACCATTGAACTTTTGATTCCTTTCTTAGAACTGTTATGGCCTCTTCAACCTTGTTTGACTGTTCATCTTGTCTCAGATTCCAGCACCAAAGAGAGGTGAGATTGTCAGGCAGCTTGGTGATGCCCTGAGAGCCAAACTCCATTATCTTGGTCGGCTTGTTTCTCTAGAAATGGGAAAAATACTAGCTGAAGGAATTGGGGAAGTTCAGGTACATGATCATGCTAGCCAACATGGCAAAAAACTTGGCTTATGTAATGTAATACCTAAGATTATGTATTGTATTTCTAAAATTATGTTGAAGATTCAGCATAGAAAATGGAGACTGAAAACAAAAGCAAGTAAATATTTTAGGTGCAGCAAAAATTCCTTTAGAATAATATGGCGGCATCTGTATTAGCATCAATTCTGACTTCTGACTTTTGTAGTGATTGGTTATCAGTCTGATAGAAATTTGTCCTATAGGGCTGTAACTGTGACCAATTGTTGATGACAAAGCAACTAAAAAGATATACCAATTTTAAGAATTGCATGTTGAGTGGTATGCAACTGTAAAGACTGAAAAGGATAAGTTTAAAAGATTTACTGCCATGTCAAGAATGGTTTGCTGCTTATCAATGAACAGTATTTAACTGTTAGGTCTTACTTTCTCATCCTATCTGCCACTGCCGTATGAGTCTTATCACCATCTTCCGTTGGGCAAAACAAAAGAAGTAAAGAATGAGAAGATAGAAGAGGAGAAACGTTCGGTGCTAAAAATCCGTATGAAATGCCAAGTACATGGTTGGCTGAAAACCTTTTTTTTTTTTTTCCTTCACTTTGAAGACTATTTAATTGATATACATGTACCCTCTAATAGCTCATGCTTTTACATTAAGCGGTATTAGAGTAGACAAAGGTCCTAGGTTCAAGTCTTGCTGTCACACATTTAATTAACAAATGCACATGTATGTTTTGAAGTCAATATTTAAATGATATACCTATGACCCTCTAAACAGCTTGAACTTTAAATCAAGTGGTTCAATGATTTATTTGTTTTGAATGGATTCATAAAATAGTGCATTCATCACAAACAATAGCATTCTACACAGCTTTGTTTTCAGAATATATAGTCACCGATAATTGGTTATATGAACTCTATATTGCATGATGTTTGCAATTAGGATGCAGAATGTTTTAGACTGTAAAATTTGGTTTTTTCTTGTGTTACACATACATTATTGGTATCTAATCGATCAAATTATTCTATAAATCTTGCATTTTGGAATATGTGAAGATCACGTTTATTCAAAAGTCTATCTTGAAAGATGATGTGCTATTATTGTCTGTATTGGTGTGGTTCCACTTCGAAGAACACAAAATGCGTACTTTAAAGAAGATTTTTGGAAAGTTTCAGAGATTCTGTGGAAAACTTGTTAATTTGACATATAGAATAATTAATTGGCTCTATAAGAATTGTTCAGTCTCATCATATTGAGAAATATGTTTCTCTAATGTTGATGGTCCTACAAGGGCAGCATATCTAAAAACATTTTTATGAATAAATATTATGTAGATAAATTTATCGTTTCTTTTCAATATCTTCTTCTCAAAGGGAAATGTTATAGAAATCTTGACAGTAACATGTTTAAACTGTGTACCATGGTTAGTTCATTCATAGAAAACCAACTCTTGTGTGTTTGAGACACTATCGTCTTCTTCTGTTGGATTTTCTTACTTTTCTAAATAACAGAGTACTGTGCTATCCATTTAACAAGGAATATAATTTCAGGAAATAATTGATATGTGTGACTTTGCTGTTGGATTGAGCCGTCAGCTAAATGGATCAATTATACCTTCTGAACGTAAGTTATCATTGACACTCTGTATCTGAATTTAACAGTAGAGTTTGCTACCATTTCTGTTTGTTGTTGATTATGATACCAGCTTTTCTTTTTCAAATGTTCTATAACGGCCTGAGTTGTGCTAGTTTTCTTCAGCAGTTTAAATTTTTTGATTCTATTCCATAAATGAAGATTTACATGTTGTCATTGTTGTTATGAATAGTACTATTAACTTTTAGTAACCGTGGTCATTTTTTCAACAGGTCCGAATCATATTATGTTGGAGGTATGTTAGATGGTACTTTGAATTTCAAGATCCCAAATTTCCACCTATTATATGTAAATCTTGGTACTTATTCTTGGAACAGACGTGGAATCCTCTGGGCATAGTTGGAGTGATTACGGCTTTCAATTTCCCTTGTGCTGTTCTTGGTAGGAATTTACAGCAAACTTGATTGGTTTATTTACTTTTGCTCGTTCAAACCTCATAGTTTTTCCATGTCATATTTTAGCACCTAATGAATCTCTGGTGAATCTTCTCAATGTGTATGTACAGGATGGAATGCATGTATTGCGCTAGTCTGTGGAAATTGTGTGGTCTGGTGAGTTATTTTCTGTACAGTTTCTACACTATCATTTTGTTAAGTGAATGTAGAACATGGCCTGTCCATAATGGAGTACTAAGTTTCACCAAATCAATGTTTTTGTGTGAATTTATGGTCACACACCTCCATTTTTCATTTTATTAGAAATGGGTCTTTTCCTCTGATTCCTTGGACATTCTGATTATTAATTTTGGTAACTTTTTTGTAGTATTTTCTAACAGGTATGTATATAGCTGTAAAGAAAAATCAAACAAATCAAAAAATGGATAAAAACTGGGAATATCATCTTCAAGATGTATAATTATCTTTATCCATTACTATTCTAAACACCTTTCTCACTTCTCCACATAGTATCATGATTAAAGCTTTTAGCTTGTGCGCGAGTCTTATTTTGCCATAATTTCAGGAAGGGTGCTCCAACAACACCTTTAATTACTATAGCCATGACAAAGATAGTTGCTGGGGTATTAGAGAAGAACAATTTACCTGGTGCAATTCTCACAACATTTTGTGGCGGTGCTGAAATTGGTCAAGCTATAGCAGAAGATACACGGATTCCTTTAGTTTCATTCACTGGAAGTACGAAGGTACATTTTTCTTGTGCTTGTTTAGTAAAAACTGTTGCTTTTCTTCAAGAATTGAAGTGTAATTTTTTAGTAACAAACAAGCACGAGCTCTTTGGTGCTTGTTACACAGTGCTGTTACAGTCGACTAGGTTTATTAAGGCCTCTAATGTCTATACTTCTTTTCTCACTTCCTTTGCTTTTGAATTCCATTAGATTGCCTATATTTTTCCTAACCTCTCCTCTACGCCGTTCTTTCGACTCTTGGAACATACATCTTTAGCAATTGCATTCAACCGAAATTGCCATGCTTTGGTTTCTTATAATTCACGAACAAAAGTAAATTTTGAGTTCCTGGTAGAGAGAAATTTGCCCAAGGAAAACAGGTCCAAGATCTCCTAACCTTTCCTCTACGCCATTCTTTTGATTCTTGGAACATACATCTTTAGAGATTGCATCCAACCGAAATTGCCATGCTTTGGGTTCTTATAATTCACGAACAAAAGTAAATTTTGAGTTCCTGGTCGAGAGAAATTTGCCCAAAAACAGATCCAAGATCTTATGTCAACCAGTTCCTTCCTACATTTGTGACTGGAAGAAGAGTAGCTTCTATCTATCTTCTAGCTTACCTGATGGTGTCCTCTGATAGTTTCTTCATCTGTTTTACGTGTGCCCATTGCAGGTGGGTCTAATGGTTCAACAAATAGTAAATCAAAGATTTGGAAAATCGCTGCTTGAATTGAGTGGAAATAATGCTATAATTGTCATGGATGATGCTGACACTGAACTTGCTGTTCGCTCTGTTTTGTTTGCGGCTGTTGGTACGGCTGGTCAGAGATGTACAACCTGCCGCAGACTGGTAGCGTGGAATAATTGACATTATCTTCTGCATTTTTAGTAGTAGAAACCTAAATTTTCAAATCTAACTCCTTTTCATCTTGTTGTTCTGGAAATGAAGCTTCTTCATGAGAATATTTATCACAAAGTACTTGAACGATTACTTGATGTATATAAACAAGTCAAGATAGGAAATCCTTTAGAGAAAGGTACCTTACTTGGGCCACTGCATACTCGTGCTTCAAGGGAAAATTTTGAGAAGGGAATACAGAAAATCAAATCTCAGGTTTGCGCTGTTGCTTGGCTAGTTTTTCACCAAATCATTTTCAGCTTGACATACATCTGTAACTGTTGATCTGAAATCGAGGGTTATGTTTAGCTATAAATAGTATCTTTCTGCTTCTTTTGTTCTTCATCTACTGAGTGATTGAGAAGGAAAGGTTGATTCCTGTTGTACATTATCTGTTAATAGAAAATACAAACATTTGCATGAAAATCTATTGTCTTCTTAATTGTCCCCAACAGTGTTTGTGCACTCCTGTTGCTGTTTTTTATTTTTATTTTTTTCTCTAACCTATTGTAGAAGCTCAATTTTAGTATTATTTATGCCCTTCAACCCCAGGTTTAGCGGGATAAATGTATTAAAAAGAGACAAATTTTAGTAGATGGTGCTGCTAAGGTTGGTGGCGAACTTGCTTTGGGTGAAGAAGTATTAGTAGCTTATATGCCATGGGAAGGTTACAATTCTGAAGATGCAGTACACATTAGTGACGTTTGGTATATGAAAATATTTATACTTCTTTTCATATACGGAAATATGAGATTCAAATTCATGTGACAAGCCAATGCCTTGAAAGGATCACTAACGAAATACTGCATTTAGAAGCCCATTTACTCCACTATTTAGACAAAAAATGGAATTGTGATGCTGGGATCTTGGGTAGAGACACGTGATATTTTAGTAGGTAAATTAATGTCCCAAGCATTCAGATATCTACTTCAAAAGAAACTTGTTTAAAAGTTAAAACTACCTATAGGTGGTAAGGGTCGGGTTATTGATGTGAGATGGATCCAAAAAAGGGGTGTTCTAGTTATAATGTAGAAACGGCTCGTATATATATTTCATAGAAACGTGAAATTAAAGGAGGCTATAAAGTGGCTGGAAGACACGAAAATAAAGGTATCATTTCCAAAATTCTGCCTACATTATTTGCAAGATAAAAGACCTGTTGATATGATTTTCAACCCATTAGGAGTACCTTCATGAATGAATGTAGGAAAAGATACTTGAATGTTTGCTTAGGTTAGCAGGGGGTCTGCTAGACGGACATTATCGATTTGCACCTTTTGATGAGAGATGAACAAGAAGCTTTGAGAAAATAGCGTTTTCTGATTTAAATGAAGCTAGTAAGCAAATAGCAAATCCATGGGTATTTAAACTCGAGTATCTAGGAAGAAGCAAAATATTTGATGGAAGGTCGAGGAATCCTTTTGAACAACCTATTCTAATAGGAAAGTCATATATCTTGAATATAGTTCATCAAGTTGATGATAAATCCATGGACGTTCCAGTGGATATTATGCGCTTACTACACAACAACCCCTTAGAGGAAGGGCAAACCAATGGGGAAACGATTAGGAGAAATGGAAGTTTGGGCTCTAGAAGGATTTGGCGTTGCCCATAGTTTACAAGAGATAATTACTTATAAATCTGATCATGTTAGAGCGTGCCAAGAAGTATTTGGTACTATGATCATTGGAGGAACAATACCTAATTCTGAGGATGCACTATAATCTTTTCGATTACTCGTTTGAGAATTACGATCTTTAGCTCTGGAATTGAACCATTTCCTTTTATCTAAGAAAAACTTCCAGATTAATAGGAAGGAAGCTTAATCGGAATGAATCAGAAATTTTCTTTTATGAACGATTGGTATAAACATCAACGGCTACGAATTGGATTAGTTTCTCCTCAACAAATAAGTGTTGGGCCACTCCAGTGGGCATGTGAACTTCATAATATAAAATGAACTTTCATTTCTAGATGAAAAATATACCAATCCTTTTCTATAGAGGTGTTAAGATGTCTTATAATGACTCATAAACCAAGTCACTCTAAAGCAATGAAACTGTTTTCTTTTAGCCTTTTATTGTGTACTCTACTTTAATGAATACTGCCTACTAATTTTTCCAGGGGGGAAAGATACTCACAGGTGGCAATGTTATAGAGTCAGAAGGAAATTTTGTGCATCCCACCATAGTTGAAATCTCCCCAAATGCTGATGTTGTTAAGGAAGAATTGTTTGGTCCACTTCTTTATGTTATGAAGTTTCAGGTAGCCACTAGTTTTCAATTTAGAGTTGTCATCCCAGTTTTCCAATTTAGAGCTGTACCTCAATTTCAAGTGCCTAATATTTTTTTTGCAGAGTCTGAAGGAAGCAATTGAAATAAACAATTCTGTACCTCAAGGTTTAAGTAGTTCCATCTTCACCCGCAAGCCTGAAATTATATTCAAATGGATTGGGTAAGATGTTAAACTTGGTCATAAGCATTCTCTTTTTTATTGTTAAATATGCAAGAACCGAACTGTGGCAGATGCTAGACTTGAGAAGAGTGATGTTTATTATCGAGCTTCGTGCTTATGATTTTTTTTTTCTGAGATACATGAATGGATATCTGTCTGAATTTTGTAATTACAATAGATCACTGTCGCATCTTTTTGGCGGACTTTGGTCACCAATATATCTTCTCATTGCTTCTCACAAACATAGTTCTCATGCAGGCCTCAAGGAAGTGATTGTGGAATTGTAAATGTTAATATTCCAACAAATGGAGCTGAGATTGGCGGAGCTTTTGGCGGTGAAAAAGCTACAGGAGGTGGCCGTGAAGCTGGAAGTGATTCTTGGAAACAATACATGAGACGCTCAACTTGGTAAATTCGTCATTTATTCAAGAAGTTTCCATTTCTGATTCTTATGGCTTAGACGATATTTTTTCTGTCAAAGTATCTTCTCAGCACTGCTGTTGCAAGTTAATTATTCAGACTAGGTGCTTTGATAACAAGATAACATGCTTAAAACTGAAATGACTTAGATTATGCTTAACTTTTCTAATGTGAACTCAAAATTCGCTCATTGGCTCACTATATGAAAATTTATAATATTTATACGACGGTAGAAACTACCTTAAGGCAAACCTTGAACTTGCTCCTCCTCTTGTCCTCACCTTTCTCCATGTGTCAGCTTTCATAATTATCAAACAGGCTGATTCAGTTCATTGCTACAATTCATTTAGCAACTAAAAAAATTTCTCGGGTACTTGGAATTCTGTAATGAGTTTTGCTGTTTAAGATTCTTTCAATTCTCTGTTCAAATATTAGTTTTAGCTAATATTCCCTTATTTTAGTAGATGTTGAAACCATTTCTGATTCTGTCATTTTTCCTTGCACTCTATAGTACAATCAATTATGGGAACGAATTGCCTTTGGCACAAGGAATTAACTTTGGGTAGTGAATTTACTTTTCACTCAGAATAATCAACTTTGGCAGGTGAGATGCTTTATTTATTTTTTATTTTCCATGGTATGTTAGCTTGTGATTATAGTGCTCTTGAATGATTCTGTTTCTGGTCCGAATGAACAGCTCTCCAACAATCCTGTACAATCAGTTTGCCTTCTGAGCAACAACGCCACAAGTTTTGGAAGAGCTTCTTGTCCGGGGTTCATAACTTGTCATGGTTATATTTCAATTTCGTTCTCTGCTATAGAGTACAATGCATAAATAAGAAGTTTCTTGATTTTCATTCACTATGTACTCTGATTGGAAACGCGAATTTTCCCTTCATCCTTGATTGGCTATTTGTTCTGGTGTGTTTATATGGGACACTAGGAATAATTGGAGTGAATTCTGATACTATTAGCTGGGCACTAGATAGAGATTGAATGTTGGTTATTAAGAATCTATATTTCTTTGCACTCTGTTCATTACTTGGTCTATTAGAAAGAACAGAAACAAATAGATCTTTAGCAATTAAAACATTATTTTGATGTTGGTCGAACTCGACCATTTTCTTGTCTAACATGTTCTAATAAAACTACGTCCTAATGTTGGTAAAGTGTCGATAGAATTTCAGATCGGCTAGACATTGAACTTTAAAACTGTGTCCTCTTTGTTAATAATTGAACTTAAATACTTATAACAATTGCTTATACTTCTATTTTTCATTTTTTATTTTAGGGTCCCTGAGTGGCCCTTCCCATCTCGGGATTTTAGGTAGCTGGGGGGGGGGGGATCGAAATATTTCAATTTCTTGAGCCGTTTTCTAATTTAATTTAAAATAAAAAAAATAAGTAAGCCGGGGTGGGAGTAGGACCATGACCATGTTCCCTTTCCTTATGCTTCCTTGTGAAATTTCCCGACTAACTGAGGAATCCTATCTCCTCCCGTATTGCCCCAGTCTGCTAGGTAATCAGGAGGGAGAGGTAACATGGTTCGGTCCTGAATTCTTCGGTTTTTTCTCTGAATTATTTAATTTTATTTTTATGTTTCTGTATTTAAATAATTAATAAATAGAATAATAAATGGGTATAAATTATAATCCAATCCCCATCCCACCTCTCGAAAATCGTAGAGTGGACGAGGATGGAGAGCGTTGACTCGATCCCGACTAGTCCCTACACCCCGTTCATGACATAGTAGACATGGCATTTTACCGTCTATAAAGATGAGAGGATTTTCTATCATATTGAAAGATTGAATATACTGTTGTTAACTAAACTGTCATTTCCCAACTTTAGGATTAATTTTCTTAATCATAAACAAATCAAAGAAGCATCACCAAGTGCAAAAAAAGTCCACTCCAATCATATTGATTCATTCATTTTCTTTCTTCTAAAAGTTGTTTACCTAATCAATTAATTAACATGTATGATTGCCCTAGGCCTATTTTCTAGCATGCTAAATTTGGTTTAAATATAAGCACCATCATCCGTACCCTATGTTGCTGTTTTGTTTGTTTCTGTACATCACCTAGTTGAAATCGAGGGATACCTTGAATTTGTTTCTCAATGGTTACCAGTTCGAGTTTCTTCAGAGCCCCTGAGATGAATGCTCAGCTTTAAAATTCAGAGAGGTGCACGTAAGCTGGTTTCGACACCCACAATCATTTATTTAAAAAAAAAAAAAAAAACCCTAGTTGAAACCTTATATTATTTACTATACTTCTAAGCTATAAATCCAATGCCAATACAACTCGTGCTCCCATTGAATTGCACACTATCTATGATTAGAACTTTCGTTTTTATCGTGCCAAATTCAATTCTATATGAACTATAACTAGAAAGTCAATCTCTCCCTCTTGCCTATGTGCCTTAATTGACAAACTACCAACGGAACCCATTTTTTTTCAATTATTTGGTTTTGGAATATAAATAGAGAAACAGTTCTAGTCAATTATATAGGGCGTAGGGGAGAGAGGGATAGGAGGGACCAGAATCATTTCTTTACCAGAAGATCAAATACAGACAAGAGCATTATTGAGTTGGTTGTCCACCAATACAAATGATTGAGGTTAGGTGCAAGAATGGAGAACAAGTGTGTGGGACCAACCCGCAGTTCACATGACAAGCCTATTTTCGTGGGCCGGCCGTTCATGTCATGTGCGTCTGTCCACTCCCTCTCTGTCCCGGATTCTGTCTAAGAGGCATGAAGCATGCAAGACGACCCCTTTGAAGAGGCTGTGCTGTGCTTCAGCTTGGTCTCAGGGACGTTAGGGGGGACGGATTCGAGAGTGAGGGGGGCATGCATGCTGAACACTCAGTTATGATAAATTTGTGTATGGAAATTCATTTATGGACTCTTAGTTGTACTGTCCCACCTGTATCCTGCCAGTAGAGTTAATGGGAAGCTGAAAGTATCTCATCCAATTGTGTTAAACCTGACACAAAAGAATGCTTGGATCTCCTCAATCATTGCTTATTGCCATTGGGAATCTTTTCATGTGAGTATGGCCTTGGATAAGTTTTCAATTTCAAGATGCAAATATCAGCTCACAGAGTGAGGGTTGAGGAGCAAAAGGAGATCGAAATTTAGACTATCCCAAGTACCCATTTGTCTGCCAGACAATATTCGTCATATTCTGATAGATATTCTCGATCGATTGAAGTCTTACGCGCATGATCGAATAGACGTTGAACCTAGCGCGTCGCAACTTCTAATTGAATTTTTGAGAAAATAGGAAATGAAGAATTTCAAAGGAAACAGATTAGATTATATTTATACCGAATTAGATTGTTGAGTCGAGTAGAGTCAGTTGTACAAATCATTTCATACTTTACAAGATAAGCAAGAGTGAAATCGAACCAGTTAAAAGTAGAAGAAATACTTCGTTCTATTGCATTTCATTACATGATTCTTCTGTTTACACTTGTTGAAAATCAAAATTAAGCACTAGGTTAACGTGTTTTTCCTCGTCATCTTCTTTAATATTTTTCTTTCATTTTTCCAATGTCTCTATCAAATTTACCATACTAGCCTTGCTTCTCATCATTCACAACTCACAACCTTCTCCTACACCACAAAACGCCGGCGAGTCAACCAGGGACAAACTCGGTATACAACTCTCCGAGCGAGTCAACCCGATTCCATTCATGTTTCCATCCCCTCTGTTCTTCATCAGACTACTTGGCATCGACCTTAAAGACTTGGGACTATCCAAACTCCTCCTCAAAATCTGTCTCATGGCTGAAATCAAATGGGCCGTCGGGTCCTCCGGCGGGCCTGATGACCTGAATTTGTTGCAGAAGTTGAAATGTCGGGCCATGGCCTCATCCGGGCTTATCAATTTTTGACATCGGAAAATCTCGTCCTTCACGGCTTCAGCACAAAGCCCGCAAATCCATTTTCCCTGGTAGCGAGCCCGAATTGTTTCTATGTAAGATAAAGTGCATTCCTCTGTGAGACCGCAGCAATCGCATTTAGCAAAATCAACCTCAATTTGGCCCGAGCCCGAAATTTTTGTATTCAAAGGTCCGTCCGGAGTGTTCACCATTGAATCACTCATAATACTAGCCCACGTCCCTGAAACAAGAGTAAATCAAATTAAACACAAAATCCTACACAGAAGAACAATTAATTGAACAGATTACGGGGAAAAAAAAAGTGAATTACCAGCTGAAAGAGCAGATCAGAAAAAGCTGTTCGTAAACACGATTTTGAATAAACAGAACGTCGAAAAATACTAGTAATCTATATATATTTTTTTATCTTTCTTTTTCCCACTCGCCTTCTTCTTCAACCTTGGCTTCAGGGATGAAGAATATAACCATGGAAGACATTTCAGAAAATACCCAACAGAAAAAGCTTCAATAATTCCTTCTAGATAGAGAGACAGTATTCAATCAAATATATGCTATAGAAATATGATTTTTATTTTTATTTTTTATTTTTTGGCTTCGCCTCCACATAAATTGTAGTTTAGCCTTTTAGAGAGAGGGAGAGACTTTATATAGAGGGAAAAATTTCTTGGGTTTTTATTGGGTAAATTCCCACATACAATCCCCAAACAATACTATTTCTCACTTGGGTCCTCCATTTATTTTCCTGTCACATTTAGGACTCCAATCTATATCTTTTGAGCAAAAATGAACAAGAAAAAGAGAAAGAAGAAGAAGAAGAAGAAGAAGAAGAAGAAGAAGAAGAAGAAGAAGAAGAAGAAGAAGAAGAAGAAGAAGAAGAAGAAGAAGAAGAAGAAGAAGAAGAAGAAGAAGAAGAAGAAGAAAGAAGAAGTACAGCACATCCTCGTGAGGCATAAGTAAAACAATGAACATCTTAAAAAAAAAAAAAAAAAGAAAGGGTTGAACCCCACCCTTGAGGGCCCCCCCCGCCCCTCCCCGCCTCTAGAGATTTGTGAAGGAGGTAAATCATGTGATATACCCTAATAGGTCAGGAAACAAGAGCTGTTTGTACACTGCGCTTACAAAGAGTTTAATTTCATGTCTCAGGAATCGAACCCTCACATTACGACTGCCAACAAGACGTGAAATAACATCTTCATTACCTTTTGGGAGGCTTATGCCTATTGAAATTGTTTACATAAGACTATCTTTAGGTCCATACATCATAACACAATATTAGAATTTTAGTTTTTTAGAATAGTATCTCACTGATGGCTCGAGCATACCTGGAAGGAGGTCTTCTTGGCCTTCCCCCAAATTGATGGAAATTGTCCTTGATGTAATTGTCACTTGAAATTGACATTATCAGTTTCGATGATTTTCGACATATTTTTTGACATATCGCTTAAAATTGTTTGAGAAAATTCAAACCTAAATCAAATCATTTAAAATGAAATGAGAAAAAACTCAATCCTAACCTAACGATTTAGTTCGATTTTAAATCCTGATTTTTTTTCATATATGCTTTATTCTGGTTCACTTAAATATTACTAACAAAACAAACTATATATTAATTATAATCGCAATTACAAGAAGAATTTGCGGAGCTTTTTGGTTTTCACAGTGGGATGTGAAGAAGTTTTTGTGTCTGAAATATGTAGTAAAACTATGAATAATTATGGATTGTGTGATTTATCACATTACAATAGTTTGTAAGTTACAGTCCATCAAACTCTCTTAACTTAAATTAAAATAGTTATATTATATTTTGGAAGTGAAGATGATATTTTATCGATTTGATGATTATGATCAATGTTCAATTTAGATCAATTTTAGAATTTTAATTTTTTTTTTTAATTTGTGCTTCTATTTGTTTTTAAAAAAAATTATAAGAGGTCTAATTCGATTTTCAAATCGTAGTTAAAATATTGAAACTTAAATCAAACATTTTTACAACAGTTTGGTTTGGTTCAAGACATTTTCTTGACATGTCCATGTGACATCAAACTGACAATTTCAAAATGGCTGTTCAATTCGATTTTCGATTTGCCATTTATCACTTACAATCTTGTCGTGACCATTTCATTTTGAGATTAGTCCTCTTAGAAACCTCGAAAATTCCCTTAAAAGAATGGATCACGTGTCTTTCAAGTGACTATTTAATGAAATTTGAACGATTCCCATCTATTTGACCATACATGTACCAGAAAAGGTAATTTCTGTATATAAATGCATCGAAGGGACCCAAGTGAAACAAGTGGCAATATTTGGGGAGTGTGGGTCAAAATATTATTTTGGAATCGGGGGACACTTCATCAACTATGCTGTCAAGTAAACAGTGGCCGTATATATCATCTTCATATTTTCTTTGCGAATATTTTGAGAGAATTTTTTGCTTTTTTATAATACCATGTCATCCAATGATTGGTCGCCACGTGTTGTCCAACTATTTGTATTAAATTAGAAAATAAGTGGGTTGATTAAAACTGCGGAAATTAGATTAGACTAATTGAATAATTGAGTTCACACATCATTAACAAACCATCTAGTGTTTCTTAGTGTCCACGTTTTTGTTTGTTTAATGTCAATTTAATTTAAATGCAAGAATAGACTAGGAACATCCTAATCATATAATTAGTCGATTATTAATTTTTTATCGTCAACTTGTTCGTCGAAAGAGAAAGAAAATGATTTCGAAGGTCATTAATTATTGAGTAAATGGATATTCTATACCATTTCCCTATTAAAAAAAATAATTTTCTCCATTCTTTTGATTTTTATATTATAACATTATTGTAACATAGCTCCATTTTTTTGTTTATTTAAATTGGAAAAATGAGAATAATCGTCGAATTGAAAAATATTATTGTTATTGTTTTCATTCTTACTGAAATTGTAAAAAATCTTGATAGGGATCCAAGTGTCACAAGTATTGAGTAATTATTTAAGTATATAGCGTGGATTGTATGGGTAACTTTTTCTTTAAGGGTCCGTTTTATGACAAAGAATGAATTTGGATGGAAAGAAAACGAATTTTAGAGAATTGAATTGTCTAAAAATTATTTTTTTGAGAATTATAAATTATTATTTTTGATTGGTATAATTTTCCATGTGAAAAATGTTAAAATAAAAATATTTTTTGGTGTTCGTTTGACTTTGTTTTACATGAAAATTGTCAATTAAAGGGATATATTTTGTTGGTTTTGGAGATAAAATTTGTTTCCATTGTAAAAAAATAACATCATAATCTTTTGGTGTTCGTTTGACTTTGTTTTACATAAAAATTGTCAATTAAAGGGAAATATTTTTTTACAATAATTCTTAGAATTGGTTTCCCTTGCCAACAAAAAAAAAATAAATAAATAAATAAAAATAAAAGAGAAAAAAATGCTTCTCACCATTTTGGTGAGAATTCAAATTCCTCCAAAACATGGAAATGTCCATGTGGCATGAAAATGTGGAATTTGTTTTCTATGGAAAATTTCACCTATCAAACATATGAAAAGTTGGAAAATGGTATTGATTTTCCCTTTTTCATGAAAAATCTGAGTTTATCAAATAAAGCCTAAATTCATTAACAATTTTACCTTAATATTCTTTCTCAAAATTTTCTCATGCAATTGACAATTTAGAAGTACATTGTATTGAGATCAAAATCAATGGTGTCTTATCCAAATATGTCATCGACATAGTTGATAAGATTGAACCCTGTATAATTTTAGTGACCCGTTAATTTATTCCACTTAAAATTAGATAATTTTATGAATAAATCAATTACCTAGTCCTAGCTCCTATGCTATAAAACTTAAGAACTTGAGTACTTCACACGTTTTTTCACCAAAAAACTAGTCAAGCCCATGTTTGTTTTCCATTATTTGACCATTAAAATGAAAAATATGATCGTTATCTATCATATCATGCCACCACATTTGAATTTTTATCTCTTATGTGAGGTCCATAACGACTATATTTTTCATTCTTATTTTTACATTAATGAGAAACAAACTGGGCTTAAAACATGTAAATACAGTGCAATGACTTGAAATTTTTATTTTCATGTTCATATGGTCTTCACAATTCTTCAAAAATAATTTGTAATTGATAGATAAGTTGGAAGAACATTGGACATGGAACCTTCACAATGTCAACAATTTTTTTGAGATTCGAAATGGGACCACAAATGTCAATTTGGCCACTTCAATCATTTGTTTGAGGCAACCAATGAAAAATATGATGAGTACGTGGCGCAAAGGTAGTGATTAGTTCTGTTAATAAATGGCCAATGGACCAACCCCTAATAATGTGTGTTACATATCTATTATAACATACAATCATGCTACATAATCAGACTTTGTGACAAAATTTCATTTTCAAATGACACTTGACAGATTCTCATTAAAAATAGAGAAAAAACCGTAAAAACACTAAATCATGGAATGCCATATCAATCTTTTTTTTCCTATTTATTTTCCTTGTTTGTTCAGCATTAGATGTTTGATTGTGAAAGAGATACCCTATAGAAATTTTTAAAATAAAAAAGAAAAATTAAATGAAACCCCTTTTTTCAATTCTCTCTGTGTGTGTTTTATCATGATCATGTGTCATTATAAATTAAGGATTTTTATAATTCGCTTCCCCTTTCATACATTGCTTATTTTATATGTCCACAAACAAGTGTAGGTGAGATATTAGAACGCTCAAAAAGTGAAAGTGTAAAGTGATACCGTTTACTATCAAATAGTTAGTTTAGTAAATTTGGTAGCATAAAGGAGGAGGAAAAATTACAAAATTCTCTATTTTATGATTCTGTTTTGATTTCTATTGCGTTTCAAACATACACGTAGTATTTTTGACCTAAAAGTTGCAAAGAACAAAAGATAATAATTCCACTCACATGCCTAATAAAATCTTTACTTGATTTAGACAGTACTTGCAAGTTATCACATGTTACATGTGAATGAATATGTTCATAAAAATTATTTTGGGGAACAAGAATGAATCATGGAATTGAATGGACACTAATTTTGGGTTAGGTGTAACTGATTGATGTTGGCAATGCTTGATATAGCATATACTCTTACAATCAATCAAGCCAAAGTAAAATGCTCTTGTTTTCAGGGTGGTTATGTTCACACCACATTTTTTGATAAATACATCACATTGCTCTCGTTTGACCCTCATTTTTTGAAATGAAAATGGGCTGAATAGTATTTTTATGAAAATGAATAATTGAAAAAGAAAGAAAATTTTTCGATTTACGAGTAATATTATTTTTTGGAAAATTGTGTGATTGAAAATATGAGAGAGAGAGAAATGAAATGGATTTTAATAGGGGCCAAATGGGGGCTTAAATTACATATAAGGTCATTAACTTTTATTCATTATCACAATTATATTCTTAAATTTTTGTTCATCGCATTCTTATTTTTAGCATTTCATTAATCAAAAAATTTTGTCCTCAATCATAATTTTTTTTCAAAAATATTATTAACTTGCATTAAAATAATTATAAAATATTATTTATTTTGCTTATTCAAAATTACAATTGGCAAATGAGACATTGGACTCTATCTTTAAAAAATG